GAAAAATGTATAGTAATTCATCAATTGAGAACGGTTGGGCGGATTTGGCTAAAATTTTCACTTAGTTGTTCGTAACCGATGCAAATTTCGGATAATTATGAAATTAATTGTGAGCATGAATCAATTGGGAACAATTTTCTCCTATGTTTCATAACCGATTCGAATGGTTGCTGCTTTGTTGGAAAGGTGTTTAGAAGTAGGAGTGCACAAAGTTTTAATTTTTTCGATAGGATACGCTAAAAAAATGCAGTTGGTACGTAGGTAACCTTTTGCCTAGATTAGCGTAGAGGATCAATTTTTTCCCTTAAGTGGGCCAGGGACCGATCTATTCGAAAAAGTCTTATTTATGGTCCGATTTGCTTGAAATTTGGCAGGTAGGTAGCTTATTGCCTGCGTTAACATATAGAATATTTTTTTTTGATAGGTGGATCAGATACCGATCTATTCGAAAAATCTTATTTATGGTGGTAGACCAGGAACCGATCTATTCGAAAAAGTGTTATTTATGATCCGATTTGCTTGAAATTTGGTACGTAGGTAGCTTATTGCCTGGGTTAACATATAGGATATTTTTTCTGATAGGTGGACCAGATACCGATATATTCCAAAAATCTTATTTAAGGTCCGATTTGCTTGAAATTCGATACCCGTATTATAGATATGCGTAGAATAGAATTGAGTCATTGTTTTACAGTTCGAAAGGTATTTGAAGGCGCCGCAAACATTCGGGTGTCGGCTAATTAACAATACTTATTACACAGGCCAACAAAAATGGAAAAAAATTTTATGCAGCAAATGTGGACAATATTTTTGACATTTTTTTTGTGTGCTGATTACGAATCCGTAAGTTTTCATCAGCTCAAAATTTTAAGAAAAACGAGGTCAAGGTGTCAAAAAATCGCGTTTTTTGCAATATTTGAGAGGCTCTAGCAAGGAAACAAAGGGTGTAGAACTTTCCACTTAGGCTTAGACTAAAGCTAAAAATCTCGACTACTATCCCTGCAAATTCCTGCAATTAAGCAAAAGGTGATAGAACTTAGGCTTAAATTAAGGCTTGGCCTTCTGACTTCAATCCCTGAAAATACCATTCCTGTACCTTGACCCTAAGGTCACCTATAGTCATTTATTGAACAACTAACACTGATTTTGACACTTTTTTTTTGTCAATTGCATAATTTTTCAGTAGTTTTTTTTTATTGCTGGACGATAAAAAGTAATTGAGTATAGGTGGCCATCAGGGCAAGGTGCTGGAATAGTATTTTCAGGGATAGTAGCATGTAGTTCTAGCTTTAATTTAAGCCTAAGTGGAAGGTTCCATCACCTTTTGTTTCCTTGCCTGCACTTTCACCACGTTTTTCTCAAAATGTGAAGCTGATGGAAACTTTACACTTATGGATTCGTAATCAGCACAAAAAAGTCTACCAAAAACAGGTTCAACATTTGCCGCATCAAAATCGGTGTTGTCCTGTGGTACCTACACTAATTATGTAAAGAGAAGCTCCTTTTTTTTATAAGAGGTGATCTCGCGAACGGCTGTAACGATCTTTTTGAAATTTTGGTGATCTACTGCAGACATTCGATATATTAAAGGATCAGCCATACATATCGAATTTTTCATACCGTATTTCTCTGGAAGTATTTGTGGTAGTGTCCTGGAAATTGGTGTAGAGATTTTTGGGCTACTGGAAAAGGGGGTGTGGCACTTTCCAAACATATTGAAACCTTTACCTATCTGTAAATATATACACCCAGAATACAGTGTTTTTTCTTTTTCAAAATAAACATTTTTTGGAAAATTTTTAGTAGAAATATAGTTCATTTTGCATCAAATGGCACCTAATTTTAAGTATGCAGTTTTGTAGTTCACTCAATTTCAGTTTCATAAAGTGCAAGTTTTAAATGGCTATAAGTTACCGTTGGTTTTTGAGAACTTTTTCGCTGATGATGTTGCGCATTTTCTCCGTATAGCGAATGCGTGATAGTTTTTTTTGTATGGGACTTATTCTGGTGGTATACATATATATATATATATATACATTTATTATATATTATATTATTTTCCCCCTTGCCGAAAGAGGTGCTGGTACCAAGCTTTACGTTTCTAAGTAACAAAATATTTATATTTTACTTAGAAGTATTTATATTGTACATAAGTATGTATATGTATTAACCAAACAATTGGTTAAGCAACCTAAGACCATTTCAAATTTAAATAATAATAATAATATATTGGCGCCTACATGTCTGTGTTCATATGGAGTAGTAGCTTATGTCGGGAAGCTGGCTTTAGTATAATGCGACATTCCTGTTATTCTATAAACGATGTTTAGCGTTAAGCGGGAGTGTTGAGCACCGGTTATGTATTCAATTTAGAAAATTGGGTAGGCGCTGTGGCCAATGGTAGCTCTTGTACCACCTCTGTATGCCGAAAGCCATACAGAGTCCCGTGAGACAACTCCGGAAGAGTTGTGATGCATCAAACGGGAGTGTTGAGCATTGTGGGTTGATGCGTCAAGCAAGTTGAGCATCGGTTATGTATTTAAGTTAGAAAATTGGGTAGGCGCTGTGGCCAATGGTAACTCTTGTACCAACTCTGTATGCCGAAAGCCATACAGAGCCCCGTGAGACAACTCCGGAGGAGTTGTGATGCATCAAGCGGGAGTGTTGAGCATGATTTGGGGTGCCAGCAATTAACTACTTTAGTAGGTTTTGTTCTGCGGCAGTTGAGCACTGCATAAAAAATGCATACCCAATGAAGAACGAGCGAATTATGTTTTAAACACAAGTGCGTTTGTTTATTCGCTGCACTTGGTTTTGGGCGGGAGTGCAATACAATTGCGTGTGTTTGTTCGCTGTTCTTTGTTGATGCGGGAAATGCATAAGTGGCTTAAACAAACGACAATAAATTTTTTGATGAGACTTAAAAAAGATATTGATTTTCTAGTATCTGAACTATTTCTTGCATGTTTATTTGCTAAAAGTTCTTAAACGGTTCGGCGCCAGTGAGTCATTCGCAATCGTATGCTACAAATGCCGCATTATACTAAAGCCAGCCTTTCGACATAAGCTACTATCTCATACGAACACAGATATATGTTAGTGCTTGGCCTTGGCTTCTCCTCCGATTTGTGGCGTCCGCTTTGATATTGTCACACAAAGGCGAGGGACCTACAGTTCTATGCGGGCTCCGAACCTCGATCGTATATTTATGAGAAAATATTTTCCGCGGCAGAATCACACTCTTATTTTATCAGATGTAAATTAGCTGAAAAAATAATACAAGCCACAGTTGTAATGGCAAAAGTAACTTTTTATAAAAATCATCAGTATTTTTTGTCAGTCTCAAAGGTATTCAGTAGCGCATTTCAAGATGTTTGAGCAACCTGTATTGGTTACAGGAGAAAATTGAAAGTTCCCTGCCAGCATTTTCTATTGCGGAAGTTACTAATACGACGCGACATTGCTGTGAAAATCATCGCCGTTGATATCGCTATTTTTTCGAATTCTTATCCGCTCTCGGGAAGAACTGGTCCACCATGACGTCACGTCTTTATGATACGAAAGCGATACAGCAATTAGGAACTATTTCGATAGGAATGACAGCAACTTGTGCGCTTAAGACTGAAGTGTTAAAGAAGACTCGTCTGTTGGTAAAATTTTTGATAAAACATAATAGGAAATTTGGGGTACTTCTGAGCTTGCAACCACAGCCGCAGAGTTACTTACGCCATTTTCAAACGCATTTATATTTTATGAAATTCCTACTAACCATTTTTAAAAGCAGTAAAAAGGCATTAGCATAATAAATCGATTAACGCATCCGTTCAAAATCTAAACATAATTTTATTATTAATTATAAGATTGCCTGCACGTTAACTGAAAAAAAAAACAATTTGAAAACAAAAATATAATTTTATTTGATTGAACTTTCAAGATTTGCGTTGTTAATTTGAGGGACGTGAACCGGATGAAAAATTTATTTGGTTCGGTTCAGCGGTTCGAACCGTTTTTGCACTTTTGGATTGGTTCGTCAAAGCGGTTTTTTGGTCTTTGAACCGGGGTTTCGGTTCGGTTCAACGGTTCGAAAAACAAAAAAATTACGCGCAAGTTTAAGTGTCAAGTGTCAAGTGCAACAACGCGCAAGGTTAAGGGTCAAGTGTCTGTCAAATAAGATGGGTTGCCTTTACATTTGATATTGTCACATGGTAAACAAACATGATGGGTATTACCATGTTTACCAAAAATAAAAAAGTGGGTACATTTATCTATTGAAAATTTGTTGAAACGAAACTTTCAATCTATATAGAAAGTGGTTCGGTTTTCGGTTCGGATCAAACATTTGTGGAAAATTTCGGTTCGGTTAATGGTTTAGTTAATTAATAGAAAAGAGCAGTTTTCCGGTTCGAAACCGGTTCGGTTCAAAACCGGTTCACGTCCCTGGTTAATTTTTAAAACTACAAAGAGTAAAAATCGTCCGAGCACCTCTTAAGAAGATAGAAAATCGACAGAAATGTTTTTTTGTTTTTGTGAAATGAGTTACTATCGCTTTGATAACTTCCAATAGTGACGAAGAAGTGACATCCGGGCGATAGGCGATAAAATTCTCATCCACTTACTGGCAGGGTTGGTATAGATATTACAAATACCAAAAGGGGGAAAAAAATTCAACTGCAGTTTGTGAAGTACATTATAATTTTTTTCTTTTTTGTGAATAATAAACAAAAAAAATAGTTTTCCAGCAACTTGGTAGCCTGGGAGAATTAACCTCCATATTATCCATATTACCCCAGCGGTAGGGAAGCTTCAGCCATTTAGGCGGCTTTAGTTTTTTTGTAAATCGAAAGTTTAGTTTCTAAGAAGGGATCCCTCCCTTCTATTTATGCTGCAAACAAGTTTTAGCTTAGAAGGCGATTGCATAGGTGATCGTGCACTATTTAAAATCGCATTACATTAATCAATTTAAAATAAACAAATTTTCAATTCAAATTGTATATTTTCAGTTCTCCTCCGATTGTAACTTTAGCGGATTCTTCTTTTATTCATATTAGAATACTCCTAAAAAGTGAATCCATTGAAAAATAAGAGATCAATGAAAGTGCTGTGCACTTGAAAATTCTATTGAAGATGCTCGCCATGCAGAACTGGATTGGGTGGAGTTTAGAAAATGAATAGTGAACATGCAACATCAAAAGCAACTCCTGGTGAGTCAGCAAAAGCCACAATTACTGTAGCAACGGCCAATGAGTTGAATCGACAATATCAGCAACATCAGCAACAGCAACAGCAGCAGCGAAATTCATCACAGCAGCATATTAACGATTCGCAACATTTGCAGCATTTGCAATTGCAACAACAGCAATCGCAAAATCATCATCTAAACGAGGTGAGTTTAAATGCTTTAGGGTGGAGGGAAAGATCAATCCCCTCACAATCTCCTCTCCCCCTGAGATATGAGACTTGTTATCAAAAACGAATTTTTACTTTTGTATGTACATGGACACATATGTATGTTTGTACATATATGTATTTCTGCTAATTTGGCATGCTTTTATTTTTAATATTAATATATCTATCGAGTTTCATTTATAGTTTCATACTTTCATAACCATTGACTGTTTGCTAGTGTTGGCTCTGGTTTCATATTTCCATTCATGCTTAGTTTATTTTTGTTAAACTACTATACACTAGATTCACAATTTATAAGTGGCTCAAATTCAACATGAGTTTATTGATTTAAAAATTTGATAAGGTTTGCATTTAAGCTTGATTTAAAATGTTTTAGATTTGCCATGGTGATGATAATTCAGACGCCTTCATGTTTTAATTAATTTTTCTCATTACCTACAAACATGTGTTTCATTATTATAAATATTAAACGATTGTAAATAATTTTTGTTTTTCCACAACATTTTTCATGAAAAACGGCCCCAAGCTCAATAATTTTTTTTTTTAATATAACTGTTAGGCCAAAGTATAACAAAAAACTTATATATATGTACAAAAATATTTCCTTTTATATTATAACCGAAGAAAATAAGCAAGACAAAATCCATTTTAAGCGCTTAGATAAGCACTAAAGTATTGAAAAATATGCTCGCAAAACAACAAAATTTAAGTTTTGTTTTTTATTCAGTTTATTTAATGATTGAAAAATTGCAATGGCCACTAAAGTGCTGCTTGATATTTTCAAATAATAGAGATCTGCGCTGGTGGTTTTAATCTTTTTAAATATTCGTTATTCTCCATTTGAGATAAATTATTTTTTATCTCTTCAATAGAGACAAACCATTGGTTTTAAATTTTTGTATCCAAGCAGAAATGCAACTGAAGTTACGGTTGAATAAAAACCAAATCTGTTTTTATGTTATAATTTGTAAACATTTCTTATTTCGACGAATAAAAAAACGCCAAAGAGATGTTCAAGAAAAATTTATTGAGCCAAATTTTTTAAGCAATACGAGGTCCTTAAGAATTTTGCTACGCTTTCTACTAAAGTTTGCTAAAGTTTTTTTTTGTGAAAAGTACAAAATGAAATAGACCATCTGAGCAAAGCATGTTCACTAGGCTGGGTCGATTTATTATGGGGGAAAATAAAAGTCGTTTGACCGCATTGTAATAGTAATATTTTGATGTCTTAGGTCTTAGCCAATTGTTATTGGCCACGAAAGATTAATTTAAAACTTATCTTTAGCACGCGCAATTGCATCAAAGTATACGAATTTTGAAAATGAAACTTTGGCTGGTAATATCTATGGAATGCGTTCATTTTTATAAACAGGACGATATATCAAATTAAGGGTTATTAAATTTAGTACCTCACGTTCATTTATCTTTTTTCAATAAGTCTTAAATTTTTAAGATATTAAGATACAACTTACAAAAACTATAATTTTCCCGTATAGATTTTCAATTCTTCATTACTTCAGCAACCAAGTGAAAAATACAAAAAACTGAGACGGGATTTATTTCAAACGTTTTAATGTTTTCGGATGTTTATACAGTATTAAAAGAATGAAATCAAATATGTATCGTCAAATAATAGGAATGGTTTGATAAGTTAATAGTAGTTGCATACATTAACATAATACAGTTAGGGTGAGAAACACCCATTTTAAGTCCATTTATGCAGTCTTGAAAATTGGTGCGGAATGGTTTTATTAGTCAACGAAGACGCACATTTTTCGCGGTTTCTAAATTTGCCGTTATATGAAAGTAGGAGACGTGAAATAATTGTTTAGATATAGTGCATAAGTATTTTAGTTAATTGCATTATGTGAAAAAAGTTTTTAACATATCCTGGGAAATCCTTTTGAAGACTCTCCAATTGGACGATAGTGCTTTGCATTCAGCTTGAACGAAAAAAGGCGCTCCCTGGAACACTTTTCTGTAATCCGGCTCTTTTATCTAAACGTTTTTTATACAATTGAAGATACATTTTTTTTTAGAAAAAAAAACTGGAGATCCACTTAATTTTTTCGATATAACTTTGGTAAATGTTACTCGATCAGCACGTAGTAAGTACCAAATTGAAGGAGAGACTTACTGTTACTGATTTGTAATAATAATATTATAAAAATAGTTCAGATTATAAACAAATTGTTTTAAATTATAAAAACGTGTTGAACATTTTTTTTTGTAATTTTCCTTTAATTGCAATTTTTATATTGTGCATAAACATAAGTAAACTAATTAGTGTTTCTAGAAGTTGTGCCTATTCAGTGTTTCCATACTCACTTGCATAAACCAAAATTTTTCCACGATGATGCAAAATAATGGCTTTTCTATTAGAGCTACCGAAATTGTTCCTAAAATTGCAAAAATTCGCAAACTATAGCTAATATTGAAAAAAGATTAGAATATTTGGAACCAGCGACCTAAATGAACGCCAGCAATATTACTGCTGTTCTTTACATCTTTTGACTATAGGCCAGTGCAATTATCAAGAGAACAATTAAAAATGTATTGAAAAAAGATAACTTTGAGATTAACGATAAGGTAAAGGGCTGCGAAAAATTATATTTGACTTTATCTTTTGAATTAACGGATTCATTATTTAATAATATGCACCAAACCTTTTTGCTGAACCCAGAATTTCTAACAAGAATTGGTCTTATTCGACTAGTGTGCTAGTCTTAGTCGACTAGTGTAGTGTGACTTGGCGGTCGATGCGCGGGCTCTTAACATTAAAATAAAATACTAATATTTTGCAGGCTTCTTGTTGACTTCATGATACATTATATTTTCACTATTACCAAGGGATTTGAGTAAAATTAGATTTTCGACCCGCCCTAATGTTAACACCTAAAAGCATGTTCACATTATCGTAATTTACGGCGCATTTGTAATTTATAAGCAAATCGTGCTGAAATCAAGTGATTTCCCTTGGTAAAATCTGTCAAGAACCAAACGAAGAAAAAAAGATTTTTCATTTATTTTAGCCCCACTGTTGAGGAAATTAAAAAAATGCCTAAAGGTATGCAACCATTTTTGTTTGGTACTCGTACATATACCTGCTAATCACATATCTATAGAATTTAAGAAAGAAAATGTGAACTTACTTTGTTCATGTGAAGTTATTTGATCGAAACAAAGTAATTTATGCTGTAATGTGAACATATATTAAGGGTGTTAGGAAATTTTCAATTACAATTTTGTGAACTACGCGACCATATCTATGACCTCTACTAGATCACTTTAAGATCGTGCAATTTTGGTGATTTTGTAGCACTGTCTTATTAGTCTGGCAAGGTCTTGTGCTATATTTGCAAATACATAATACTTCTATTCAATACTTTTTTGCGTTCCATAGTTATTTGCAAATAACAAATTACCTCTGCATTTATGCAGCAAAATTCAGCATTTTGCAAATTGTTATTTGCAAATAATTGAACTTGCATTAAAAGTTACATTTGCTTGAAATGCATTCATGTAAAATCTGCTAAGCATACATTTTTGGTTAAGTCTTTGATAACATTTTAAATTGGATGAGATTCTAATTATAGCATTTTCAGTTTAAATGAAATTTTTCAAATTAAGTGAACCATTTTTCATATTATTCGAAACTATTCAAATTAAATGAAACTATTTCCAGATTCAGTGAAACTTTTTACAAATAAAAGAAAATATTTTCAAATTGATTGAAACATTATTAAATTAAGTAATAGGCATTATTAAATTAAGGAGCAAGAAATCAACTAATTAATGAAGAGCTTGTCCATTCGCCACTTTCGGAATTTGGATAACAAAGTTCGCGAAGTCATTTTGACTAATTTGTGCGATACTTTCTTCAACTATACTAACTATGTTGCGCTTAGAAGTTATGCCACTAAATAATAACACTGGTTTAAATGTTCAATGGATGCCACTATCCAATTGCTATGTAGAATTTGTTACCTTAACTGATTTTCTCCGACAAATAGTTTATCAACTGCAAACAATTGAAAAAAGATACTTCTCCGTGAGTTCAAAATTTCGGGAATTTTTTTTTTGAGATTTTCGAATATCATGCCGATATAAAAAAATAGGTGTTTTCTTTTTTTCGATAAAGAATGTAAAAAAATATATTTCACCCAAAAAAAATATTGAGGTGTAAATATTGTATGGAATGACCCATATACATCACTTTCGCATAGGACTGATAGTTTCTGACAAATTAATTAATCATTCCATTTTTTTTTTATCTATTTTTTAATGAAAAAATTTAAAAAAACCAAACTTTAATAGAAGAAAAATTTTAAAAATAACAGGCTCTGTGCCAAATTTTTGCATTAGTGCTAAAGTCTGTTCTGTTACAAAGAAGAACATCGAAATCCTGGAGCTCCTTTATAAATTTCATACTGGCTACGCCCATGGGACCACTTTCAAGTAAGGGTGCTCGAGCACTCCCCCAACCTAGCTACGCCCATGATCAGAGTTACAAAATTCATTTTTAGTTAAGGATAATGCCAGAATTCATAAATGCCAAGAAATAAGAGATATGGTGGATAATAATGGATGCTTACCGAAATTTTTGCCAGCATACTCTCCTTTGAATATGAAAAAATATACAAACTTTGGCAGTTTATAATATATAAATATATAAATTGGAAAAAATCCAAGCAAATTTTTTACTGCTATAACTAATTCAATATGCCTTGACTGTAAAGAAAAGCAACGCGTAACAGCGAATTCACAGTAAACGAAAAAAGGAAGTTTCATTTAGGGCCTTATTCTGTATCACGAACGATAGGCAAAACGAACAATTCGTCTGCAAACGACAACATCTCTGATTACGATTTTAAACTCTATCGGTCGTTTTTGTCTTGATTTTCATACATTACGTTGCAGTGGTCTCGGTTGCGTTTAAACCGGCTAAAATGATGCCGCCGGACTAATTTTTGAAGC